CGTATATTGAACAATGCTGAGTAATGAGATTATAGAGAATAGATTAGCTTTTTATATTTTATAGTTGAAAGATTTCAAATAAAAGATGTCAGCTAAAGATAATTGAAGTCCGTTTCCAGATATCGATATTTATTATTACATTTTTTATATACGCATTCCCTACTGTGGCATTACACTCAAAGTATAGAAATTTGCATTACAATCTCAATTTTAAAGATGCTCAAAAATAAGAGCAAATATATGCTAAGCATTTGCACCTTTCTTTCTATAACTTATCGCGCTGCTCGCTCCAAATAAATGCTACCTAGTGTCCATAAAGAAATTGTCCATGCCCACTTTTTAGCTAAGGAAGTTCCACATTCACTTTAATAGAGGATGCTCATCATTATCTAACTCTCTGTGGATAAACCAGTTGCAACTCGGCTCGCTATTTATTTAAATAGAACGCCGCAGCATTTACGTAGTATTCACTGTAGCTTCCACTGTGCCTGTGTGTGTCGTTCCAATTAGAATAAAACTCATCTCCTGTGCTGCATTGCAAATTATCTTACATAAGGCGACAGTGGGGGCACCTTCATGTATATACAACTATGTATCGAGCGATCGGTCGTTCTATATATACACATATCTATATATAAATTGACGATCTATCGATCTGTGTGATAGTGGGGTACAGTGGGCTGCAAGCGCTTGTCATCTAATCGATTTGCGTATTGCGAGCAGCAGCAGTAATTGCAGCAGTCGAGGGGGAGGCGGCACCTTAAGTCGGGCAACTTTCATTGCGAGGTCGTCTAAAGCACCTCGAATAGCTCGGCTTGGCAGATCGGTTGGACCGACTGAATGTGGATTAAGTGTATGCCAAGGCATTAAGGCAACGGCGCGCAGCTCTGTTCGGAAACTTTTAGATCTGAATGCGTCGTAGCCTCGAGTGATTTGTTTTTTAGATTTTCAAAGTGATTGCGGTTATCCCAGTCGGAAACGCAGTCATCGTCATTGCGCCAACTTAAAAGACAACAACAACAAATTGAAATTGAAAACTAAAAGTTGACGAAGAAGAAGAAGAAGACGCTGAAGCAGTAGCAGATTGAAGGGAGAGAAAAAATCAGCGCACATTCCAAGTACACACAAAATGTGTAACGCAATCAAATCCATCGTTTCCGGTTTAAGACGCAATTAACTGACTGGGGATTACGTAGATGCCCAGACACCATTCACCTCACCTGAAAACTCATCTCAACTCATCCCAAGATCTTGCTACGTCTGGTCTTTATATACATATATATATATATATATATATATATATATATATGTATATATATGTCTCTCTATATATGAACGTCATGGCCAGCAGTTTCGCAGTTTATTCACAACATTTCACTTATTTTTGTAATTTGATTTTTATTTTTCCCTCTCGACTCTTGTAATTGGCATTTTGAATGTTGCAGACGCACAAAATTTTGTTCGATAGTTAAATTGATGAAATGTCATAATTTTTGGTGCGTGTGAGTTTTTTCTCTCTTTTTCTTTTCTTACTTTTCCAACGGCCAATCGCTTAGAAAGTTACTCGATTTTCATAGTCATAACAATTGGCCATGAAATTTGATGGAGGAAAAATGCCATTCGATGACTTTCAAGTCCCAATTTTATGAAATATATTTATTTTTAAGTAAATGAGTCTGCTTCAGAATCTTGTACAAAAGGCAGTGCAGAAGAGTAATGCTCTTAAGAGAGCTGAGATGAGAGAATGACTTTAATATATTTAAGTATATGTGTGTGTATGTATGCAATATTATATATACATGTAGAAGAGGCCAAGAGGCATGCTCATCTTCATTCACATAAGCATTTAAGAAGCTTTACTTATATAATTTTTCGAAATTCAATACCATATAAAGTGTGCCCTTTGTTAATGACAGTTGAGTCTATAGTGCATAAGTATTCTTGAAGTCATCAAGACTTTAAAATACATTCATATATTCAGATGCTACTTTGCTAAAAATTATTAATTTTTTCCCTTTTTCCTTTATATCTGTTTCTGTATCTTCTTCTATATCTTCTAATATTTAAGGTATTTTAAGTCCTTTCTCCAACTAAATAATGCTTTAACAATGAGTACGTTGGAGATGTCCTAAGCACTTATTTTTGAAAGAGCATCTCTCCTCTCTCTCATCTCTTCTCCTAGTTTGAAAGTAGCCTAGATATGTTGTTGTTTTCAGCGATATATTATCATAATGTCGCTATATCTTATCTCTTTCTCTCTCTAATTCTTCATGTCCCTCTCTTGCCAAAGAGTCTTCTGTGGACTCACTCTAGAACTCTTTCTCTCTCTCCATTTCCATTGGAATTCGCACATATGTACAACATTTTCTTACACAGTTAAAGTAACTGATTGCACAATATAGTGTCTTGATTGCACAATATAGCTTGGAAAGGATACCATTATCGACAACTAGCTTGCCCTTGACCCAGTGCACTTTCTGCTCTACTTACGTTCGGCCTAAAACCTGTTTCCATTTTATACGTTCAATTCGCATCAGTTAATCTCGTTAAGAGTAGTTCGGCTAATAGCTTGTACAGAGATTCGCCTAATTCCAATGTTCCTAACGTCCATTCTAAACAATCTGAAACTAATTAACTTCTTAATGATGTGCACTTCCAGCTTCCACCTTCCACCTTCTACCTCTGTGCGGCCATCCATTCATTTGGCTCAACCTGTCTGGGCAAGCCACTCACTCAACTCATCTCAACTCATTCACTCACTAACCTCCAAGATCGTAAAATTAATGATCTGTTTTGTAGCGCTTCTTCTACGCCCATCTGCCACTTCCACAGCGCAGGTTCGACTGCCACTGCATGACCAAGACGTAGACCAATTCAAAGCCCAACACAAGTTAAGACAACCATCAACTTCTATTTAAAATTAAATTAACCTGCTTAATTTGTCCGGCCCACCGCAGCCCTCGCTTCAATCCGTTTGCCCCATCCCCATGCGAGTGCTGAGACGCGCCCAAAAACATTCACTCGGCGCAAATGAAAATCGAAAGGCGCTACTAATCGCCCCGTACGCCTATATTGCCAGCCATATCCACGCACAGTCGGCTGTATCTGCAACTGTTGGATACGTCTAAACTCTGGCCTGCCCGAACATTTCGAACATTTCGTGCATTTAACGCACAAATGACCCGTTTGGACACGGCTCTTTGAGGCCTGTTTTTTTGTCTTGGCTTTGATATTGGATTCAATTCGGAATGCCGACCCTTTCACCCTTCACCACGAAGGCTGCTGTGATGGCCAGCTGGCTGCCAAATTTAGCAAAATTCGATTTGATTTTGATCGCTCAATTAGCGTAAAAGTAACATGTCAAACCTATTAATCACTTTCGAAAATAAAAGATCGTAACGCGCAACAATAACGCGAGGCATGAAATCAAAAACCAAAAATATTTCTCAAAGCAATGAAAAGCAAAAAGCCTTTAGAAGCGCTCTTTGATAAGTGCTATAGAAAGGCGCAAGAAATCATGATAAAAGCGTTAAGCCACGAACACCCTGTAATATAGTCGAGAGTATCTTCTTTTGTAATCCACTGCTGAAAGGCCACGCAAACTTATCTGAACTAGTTGATCATGGATTACAGCTTATCTCTGGCTGATCGATTGACTAAACATTTAGGGCTCAGCATTAAATACAAACTGAACTCCAATTCCTTTAAAGAAGATTGACGCAAATCCGTTTTATTTAAATTATGCAAAGTTTTTTTTAAAAGAAAACTTTCAATACAAGTTATGACAATTAGTTTAACTTGAATCTATGTCAAACTTTGTATACACCTTGCTCTATGCCACCTCAATACACATGCGAAATTTGCAATCTGTAACTCTTCTAGTCTCTGAGTTCGCTTAGATCACGCAGTCTTTGCAGTAGCCATCCGCAAATGTTAAGCTAAAACTCATTTAGTTGATGCGGCTCAGAAAATACTTCCATTAGCCTGTTGCCCTTTTACATGCTAAAGATAACAATAAAAGCGAGCAGCAAAAAGAAGAAAAATTAAATATATATATATATATATAATCATAATTGTTGCTCGTGCCGTTGGCAAAAGTGCGTGAATTTAGGCGTAACCCGAAATTATATAATTTATTATTTCTTTTGATTGGCAAAAATTAAAAAGTAACTTGAGCTGTGGCCACAGCTACATCTGTGTGGCCACCAATGTATCTGTATCTGCTGTAAGTGTATGTATTTGTGTCTGTGTTCAGGTACGGGCTGCCCCTCCGTCAACCCCTCCTGCCGTTTGGACAACTCTATTCGCGCTGTTTTGGCTTTTTGAAGTCGAAAACGCTGCGTCATTGCCCGAACTTCAATTTCATTCATTCATCAATTACAATGCACAAAAGTCGAACGGAACGCTGAAGCCTTGAATCTTGCAGATACATAGATACAGCCATAACAGTAAATGTGTGTGCGAGTGTGTAATGCTTGTGTTTGACATTAAGTTTAATATTTGTCGTATATCCTGTAATTGCGTTGATTTAGTGCCCGCTAAGCTTTAAGATAGTTAAATGTATCTTTGAGATGCATTAAGTGTGTGTGTTTTTGTATCTGTGTATATTTTTATATCTTATTTGCCAGTGTTTGACGTTAAGTTTGAGACTTATCAAAAATCCTCTAATTATGCATATTATCTGTGAGCTGAAAAATGTATCTTTGAGATACATTTTCTATAATTGTATTTGTATCTTAATGTGTGTGAAAGACTTGTGACATAAAGTGTGTATTTCCGTACTAACATCCTCTCAGTGAGCTCAGAATTGAGAGCTGCACTTCGAGATACTCGAATGAATCTTTCAGATACATTAACTGTAAACATATCTCTATTTTATGTGCTTGCTTATGACATTAAGTTGAAGATTTATCGTAGATCCTGTGATTATGCTTATTAAATATGAGCTGTACTTCAAGGCACTCAAATGTATCTTTGAGATACAAACGCTTGCTACTTACATGCTTGAAGTTGTATATGGTTGTAGTTGTTGTTGCAGCATCAATTTGCTAGCCTCTTCGAGTTTAATTGTACAACGTAGTCTAGTTGCTGCTGGTGCTGATGCTGGTGCTGCCGCTGCTGCTGCTGCTGCTGCTGCAGCTATAAAATCCGCACGGATATCCGTTGGCCGGCAGGAAGAAATCAACATTTGAGCACCGTTGGCGATTGCAGCGCTTTACGGATGTTGATAACCTGCATTGGCATTGGCTATAGCTATATAGAGTTGATCTTGTTGCTGCTGTTGCTGTTGTTGTTGTTGTTGGCATTCTGCATAAGTGCAACAGCAACAACAAGGAGATCAGCACGCTGCAAAGCCGACGGCGCGTGTGAAAAACGTTTTCTAACACTTTTTTTATATAACGGTATTTACTAGTATTTAAAAAACTTTTTTTTTTGAGTTTTTATTGATTGGAAATAGCTGAACTTTGTTTTATAGTAGAAGCACAAAGAATGTATCGAGCTAAAAGTTATTCTTAAAATTTATATAAAATGTCTAAAGGCAGTTATTATAGATTATTTATACTTCTAGAATCAGGTTTGAAAACGTTAGTTTTATTTCCATTTCTTTTTCTTTTAAGTTATATTTAAATTAGTTTTTCTTTTGTTTATTTTTTTTGTGGTTTTTATACACTTTGTACAAACTAAAGACTTGATTTTGTTGTTGTGGCTTTCTTTAGTTGGCTGATTTATGGATTCAGTTAACTAGTTAATATTACTATACTAATTAACTTTAATTGTCGTATTATTCTTGTTGACACCAATCCTAACCGAGCACTTCCCAGTTTCGATTAATCGGTTTGGCTTATATCGAATGCATTTCTTGGCATTATTTTTTTTATAATTTCATTATGGATTGTCTCTCTTTAATGCCTGCCCATAATCATCATCAGCCTGTACACATGTGGTTGGAGTAGTTGTTGTAGCTTTTCCGCAGCTTAACTCACTTTGCATTTGCATCTGTCACAATTTGCATTAATTGCACTTAAGTATGCAGTTATCATTGATTTAGCACCGATATTCACTTATATATATAGTTCACATACGTATGGATTGCAGCTACTGGGCGCGTCCAAAACACGATATCTTTTATATAGAAGTTTTTTTTTCTATTTTGTGTCATAATTTGTGCCAGTTTAATGGGATAGTTGGGAAATGAAAACTTTTATACAACACGTTTTATTTTATACTTTTGTTTTTGCTCTAGTTAGGAATGTAAAAGTTGCGGATTTATAGCTTAAGTTATGATTTAAGTGTTGAAAAAGTTTCGTATTTATTTCATATTAATATTAATAATATATTTATATATATATATATCAAATTAATAAAAAATAAACGTTTTTTTTCTTTTTTAGTTTACAAAATTTTCGACTACATTTGCACTCATTTTATATTTTATATTTGAATATTTCGTAACTTTTTAACACTGGCTGAGTATAATCCTTGCGCCACGCCCCTTGCAACACTGCACTGCTACATTTCCATATTGGTTGTATGTACCGTTATCTTTTGAGTGTTACGCGCGCGCTCTCATCGCGTTACGTTACGTTGCGTTCAGTGTTGGCTTACGTAGTTGGTCGATCGTCTGGGTTATCGTCTGCTGTGGGGTTGCTTGTCTGTGCTTTGTTTTTGTTATTGTTGTTGTTGTAATAGTTTTGTGGCGCTGGTGTTGCGACCGACAAGCGACAACACGACCAATAGCTTTGAGACCGTCTCACGGACTGATGATAGGCGGCTAGCGCGCAGCTTCACAGTCAGAGCCACTGGCAGAAGCAGAAGCAGAAGCAGAAGCAGAGGCAGAGTCGAAGTCGAAGTCGAAGCGTCGTCAGAGTGCAAAGCGATTTCGATTTCCTAATAATAAACGCAAAATAGTTATACGGGCAGCAGCGACTTCTTCGGTCTATGTATGGGTGCTCTGAATGAATACGAAACGAGCCGCGAGACGAGTAACAGAGACGATGAGTTCCACAAGCAGAGCTAAGCTTAACAGCAGCGCAGCCGAAGAGCCGAACACAGCACAGCGCAGCGCAGCTCAGCGAAGCCGCCAACTGAACGCGGCTGAGCATTTTGAGGAAGTCCAGAGACGATGCAATAAATCGAAGCTAATACACTTCTTTCTTAATGTAGAGCACACACCACAGATCGAGCGATCCACAAATCCACACACATACACAAACACAGCAAAAACGAATAGAGCAACTGCTGCGAGACGACGACGACGGCCACGACTACGAGTACGACTTAAAGTTGACTTCGCGTTTGAGTGCTCGGCTGCCTAGACAAGTTTAGCGGCAGCGACGCTGGCAGACAAAACAACAAAACGGTAAATGAGGCAGTCGCGTGCATCCTGCACAGCTGCGCCAACTGTTTTTTTTACTCAATGAAAATACGCAGTCGCTGCGCAGCCGGCGCTGAACAGCATTCCAATTGCATCCGAAACTGGGTGGAGATCTTCCGCCCCAGCACGAGTCGAAACGACACGAAGCACCAAAAACCCGAAGCTAGATGTTCCACATGCGTTCCACACGAAAGACAAGCCAGATGTCGTACATAAAATATAAAAGAAAAAACAAAATAAACAAAAGTGAGCGCGTCTAGTTGCGCTTGGCAGTAGTCGGCGCATGAAGCTCGCGGCGGCAACAACAACGATGAGGGACGCAGCTGCCGTTGCTAGCGCTGCTGCTACTGCTGGACAGTTGGTCATGTCCAAGTCCAGGGCTCGTACAATAATTAAGCAGCAGCTTAAGATAAGTCTTAACTGACATGGAGAATGGAAAGTTCAACTACGTCTTTCACTCGGCAACAGTTTGCTGATGGCGATTAACATACGACACACACACACATATGTGAGTGTGTGCTGCAAATGGGAGAAGGGTTTGTGTGGCAGGCTTTTGGCTGTCCTACTTCTAAGGCTGTTCCTGGCCATGTTCAAGACCATGTCATGTGGCTTCTACCGAGCTTCTGTGGCTGTGTTGCACGAAATCGATCAAATCAAAAATGACTTTGTGAAGTGACTAACTGCCAGCTGCCTGCTGCCTGCTGCCTGCTGCCTGTTGCATGCAACATGCTGTCTAACAGTAGCGGTCGCCTCTCTGCTGCTTGTTTAGATTTTTGAATGAGCCGCAAGTCCAAGTCCAAGTCCAAGTCCAATGGCTGCAACACTTCAAAATGAAAGCACATTCCCTTGTAGAAATTGTACCGTTACGCGATGAAGGCTAACTGCAACTGCAGCCAAACAACTGCAACAGGTACCCAGGTTACAACAGCACCAACGATCGTTTGTCCGATTTTTGTTGTATTTTTTTATGGCTGACAGAGACTCGCATCGTCCTCCAGCATCATCCGACACTTGTGGCAGCTTATGGCACAGATTTGCAAATCGCGGCTCCTCTATTATTGTAGTTGTTTGTTGTGGCAGCAACAGCAACAGTTGCTGTTGCTGTTGTTATTGTTACTGATGATCTTGTGCCCCGCTCTGCCTTTCTGCCTCTCTGTGGCAGCCTGGCCGCGTGCCTCTTATTTATTTGAGTCAATGAGTTCACAACTATTTTTTTTCTATCCCATTTTAAGTTAATGGATTTTTGTTGCCGTTGCCGTTGTTGCTGCTGTTGCTGTTGTGTGGCATGTGGCATGTGGCAAGGAAGCATCTTGTTGGCTTGCACTGATTGATGGCCTGATAATGCTTAAGTGGCAAGACTCTGATATGTGCAATGAGTTGCAATACCCAATCCCACTAAGGATTTATCGCTCAGCTTTTAATGAGTCCCCAAACCGCCGAAAATCTGTAATTAATATTTTTTATTTTCTTTTTTTTAATATTTAAGTTTAAGCTGCATATCTGTTCGGCTTATTAACTAAATTTATGTTCCCAAATAATTCTGAATAGAAATTATTTCTCATATAAAAAGGCAAATAAAAAATACATTAAGACAATCGAGTGTTAATGTATTACTTACTTATTAGATAACTTTCGCAAGGTAATGAAAATAATTTTTTTTTATTTGTATTATGTTACTATTTATTATATTATTTTTTATATATATTATGTTTTTAAGAATTATGTTTTATGCATTTAATAATTTTTATTCATTTTTTATATATTATATTTAGAATTATTTATTTTTATTTGCTATTCTGAATTAATATTTGTAATTTTTAAAAATCTGTTTTTGCCTAAATCAATTATTTGTTACAACTTATTTGACTTTCCTTTTTTGTCACAAATTTGATTTGGTTTTCGTCTCCTTAGGAATAAATCTTAGGTTCAATATTTTTTAGAATTATTTTCATATTACTTTTATTATTTGAATTAGCTTGGCCATATCCTAATCTTTTAACACTAATTTATAAATTTATTTTATTTATAAAAAATATATATTCTCTATATATCTACTTTTACGATAGTATTTAAACTATTTATTTTTTTATATATATTTTTGTAGTTTTTTTATGTGGTTCATTCGTTCAGCTTAACGTTTCTGCTACCCATTGAGCTTAAATGGGTTTTATGAGTTTCCAATAGACTAGGCTTAACGATTTCCATTCGACGTTGCCAATTTCTCAACCTTTCTATTTCCTAAACGCGCTCAAGATCGGGGTCGAGTCAATATAAATCATGTTTAGTTAAGCTTAGTTATAAATTTCCTGAATTGCACAAAAAGAAGGAAAAAAGTGAAATATATTTTTCAACGAATATTTAAATACGTAGCGAGTAGTGCATGAAAATTAACATAAACGAGACTCGCAATGCCCATAAACAAGCGATGCCATTCAAATTGATATGTTCAATATAATTAGCCCGACAAACAACAGCAGCAACAACAACAATAACAGCGACAATAGCAACAATTTAAAAAACGTTTAGCTTATGGTTTAAAGCCTTTTACTAAATGGCCAATAACAACAACAGTAATGACAAGCATGCAAATAAAAAAGAGGAATTTGATAAATTTATGCGCAAAATAGAAAACAAAATTGAGAGAAACAACAACAACAACGAGTGAGAGCAATAGCAACAGCAACAGCAATGGCCGGCAACAACAGCTTTAGCAACAACAACAACAACAACGACAACGCTTAGGAGCTTTAGCACTTCTCGCTGCCCGCGCGCCCACCCTTAACGGCAGCTGCTGCACATAATTGGCTCAAAGCGAAAAGCAAAACAAAAAACACAAACATAACGAAAGAAGAAGAAAAAAAAATAATAAAAAGCTCGTAAAGTTTTGCTGGGTTTTGTGTGTGCGCGCAGAAGACCCGCCCGCCAGTGGAAGCTGTTGTTGTTGCTGCTTGTTGTTGCTTGTTATTTAAACGTTTTCAAATCGCGCAGCGAATGAAAACGAAAGAAAAAATGAAATACATCGAAAGTGAGCATATGTATATGTATATGTATATACATGTGATTGTGTGCCTGTGTGTGTGCATATATACATATGTCGGACGTATCAGCGACGCGCGCCTTCAAACAAACTTTGCATGGGGCCGGAGCCGGGGCCGGGGCCGTCGCCGGCAATGCGCGCGCGCGCGCGCTCACTGCGCTCCACACACAGCAGCGAGAGAACGAGCCACTCAGTTGGACAGTGGACCTTGGGGGAGGTGCGGCTGGGCTTCAAATTGATATAACTGAGCTGGGCTGAGCTCAGCTTGTCGCGGATTCGAGCCGAGTGCGCGTACGATTGCCCAGCATCGCATACGACACACAGCATCAGCATATGCCCAGTGATTCGCTGTTGGCGTCTCAGTTACAGTCGCTTGTCAGTACCCCCTAGCTAGGTACATATATATATATCTATATAGTTATTTATATATTTTTAGAGCTGAAAAAAATAGAGCCGCAGCGCAGCATAGAATCTATGTAATTTGTGTATGCAAAGCAAGTTCTTAACTGAGCTTGGAGAGAACTCAATCTATATAGGTATGTTTTAGGAGAATATGTTTTTATATATTTAATATGGTATGTTTTGAGTAGTTTGGGGATTTAATGGAATATCACAATTTGTGATAGTTTCCTGATATCTGATGTTCCAATATATCAATACATACTTAAAACCACTTTTTCAATAAATTTTATTTTTGTTTATCAAAAATTCTATATTAAGCAAAGTTTTTTTGTTATAATATTCCTTATTTTCCTTTTAAATACAGTTCTTAATATAATAATTAAGTACTTGCTATATTTTATTATTTTCTAAATTATTTCTAAATATTTGCTACATATTAAATTTCTTTGAAGTTCAAAATTTTATGTATATTCCAAGTGTAGAGAACACATATCCCTCAATTATTTGAGGCATGACATGGGTCAATGTCATCTCTGTCGCTGTCCGGATTACTAAATTGCTCAACTTTTTTACGCCAATTTCTTATATTATTATAGCAAATGTTCTATAACAGACTTTAGTGATAAAGTTCTTAAACTATTCACTCCATTTTATATTTAGTATTTGATTTAGTAGCAATAGCTAAAAGTACATTTATCAATAAATGTTATATGTACATAAATCATATATATCAATTATATATATGTAACATATTCGTATAGCAATATCGATTTAATATATCATCATAATATAGTATATCATCATATCAATCATATCATCTCAAAGATCTTTCATTTCACTCAATATCAACAAGTGTATATAAAGTTCGAGGTGCTTTTATGTTGCTTACAGTTTTCCTTTTTATGTTATTGTTTTAACTCGTGTTTTTCTTATACTCAGACACTCGATAACCATATAGCTGTAACTGTATCTGTATCTATATAGCTATATGTTTCTCGCTCTTTTATGTATAGCACTAAACGTTCTGCAATTGGCTCATTTAAGCGCTGCGTACGCGGCCACACACAATCGAACACACACATACACACACGCGCTTGAACACTCACACACCCACACACACACACACACATAGAGATGCCTGTTGTTGTCGTTCGTTTCTAATTATACGATAGGTGCGCTTCGAGCCATGAAACGTGCGGGGTCTGACCTTCTGTGCAACGTTTAGGAGCTGCCCAACTAAGTGAGTCGGAATCCGAGTGCAACTCGAGCTGCATTTGCCCCTTAGCTGTCTGGTGTCTTAAAATAGTTTTTGTTTTACTTATTTTTTAGTAGTTTATTAAATATTAGCTGGCTAAAAAGGCTTCTGTGGTGGCAGCTGTTATTATTTCATGCATCTACTAGGATTTAATTATTGGAATTTGAGCTAAAGCAAACGCCAAAATGGAAATAGTTTCTCAAACACTAATCCTCAAGCTATGGCTCATTCGTGGGTGCAGCTGGGTATACTCGACTAGCAGTACACTAGTCTAGGCACGGAATATGCTATTAAGTGCAATACGGTCTTAATTAAATGTTCTTAAATATTATACACAATTATTGAATGTTTCATAATTAAGAGTTGCAACTAAATGCCAAGTTTATATTTTAGTTGTGAAGTGTGATTCAGACGACATTGCTAATAGCTGATGCAATTTGATTTATGGGAAAGTACGAGTATTTTTTACTTTGACTGTAAGAGGCAGAAGGATGTGTAATCGCTTACTTTATATATTTATATTTGTTTGGTCTAGATCAAACACCATCTTGATCTAGCCCTGTCTATCCGTCTGTTCAAGGTAATCTGGGTCTTTTTAATTTTCTGTATCCTTTTCGTCTCTCTCACTTTTCGTATCTGTTTGTTTTTCTTTTGCCCTCTATCTATCCATCCCTCTTTCTTTCTCTCTACCTCTCCCTCATTGTCTGTCTAACTCTGTCTATATATCTTTCGTTCTCCATCTGTTTCTCTCTCTCTCTATCTCTCTTTATCTGTCTCATTCTGTTCCTCTTTGTCTCACTGCCTCTCCCTTTATTTTGTTTCGCCCTTCATCTGCTTCTCTCTATTTAATTCTCTCTCACTCTCTCCTTCTTTCTCTCCCTCTCTATTTCTATATTTGATCTGTCCCTACCTCTACGTTTTTCTATTTCTATTATTCTATCTCTATTCTATTTCTATCTCTTTCTCTCCATCTTTCTATCTCTCTCTCTTTTTCATCCCATTTCAACGTTTCTCTCTTCATATCTATTTCAAGCTCGCTCTCTCCCCGTCACAATTTCTCAGCATCTTCCATTCTCCCTCCTTCACCCACTCTCTTTTTCTAGCTTTCACTTGCCCACTTTTTTTCTCTGCCTAGTCTGAGGTTAGTTTGATCTATACTATACTCCACTACTATCTATACTAATACGATCCATAAATGAAATAAATATGTTTTCAAATTAAAAGGCTTTCTACTCAACAGTTGCTGTATGTTCTCGTTATGGCAATCCATTATTCATAGCAGCGAATCGTTCAATGAAATCGTGTTCGCTGGTCATCTGCCTACTCGACCCGATCTGCTGATCTGGCTGATCTGTTGATCTGCCCTCGACTTCAATTCCGTTTGTTTTCTTTTCTATTTTTGTAATGTATTTTTTCTCTCTCTTATTTTTGAAGTAACCAAAACAAGTAATCTGATATATTTGTATAACATGGCTGGCATTAAGCTCTTGGTAACATTTCCGCATTTCAAATGATTTTTAATTATTATTTTTTTTGTCAGACGCCTACACAACAAAACATCGAAGACTACCTCCAAGTGGATCTGTCGCCTTCTCTTTCTCTCTTCCTCTATCCCTCTCTCTCTCAAATGCCAGGCTTATTACGAGCTATATTTTCGAGCCTTATCAAGTGGTTTTTTTGGATCTCTCTGAGTGTGTGTGTTGGGTACATCTCTATGTGGGTGCCTAAGCTCCATTGATGACACGTCATTTCTGGCATAGACATCTTCGTCAAATGTGTTAAGTCGAGTGAGAAAACCGAAACCGTAGCCGAATAGCTGAAAAAACAGGTCTTCCCCTGGCTAGGGGGAGGGAAGTGTCAATAAAATGTCATGAAAAGCCACTTAGCTCAGCGAATGTGTGTGTGTGTGTGTGTGTGTGTGTGTGTGCAGAGCTGGAGACGCTGCCTCACCCAAAGCACTTTAAACTTTGGCCACATCCGCTGTGGGGTTCGCCCCACTGAGCATTTGTCAAATTTTATCGCCAGTTTTGTTGTGGTTCTGTGTTTCCAATATTTCTTCTATCATTTTTTTCTTTTTTTTTTGCACAATTATTGCTTTGATTTAAATCAGTCTACTGACCCAAAAGTTCAGGCCACGGAAATTGCAAATTTAATAATTGAGTAGACGGCGAAAAGGCAGCTCGAGCTGCGAGTCAAGTTAATGTAAGCCAAAAAGCAAGGGGGCTTATTAATGCCAGATAACCTTGGCTGATTTAATTTCTTGTTCGCGGGCTGTGTGATTACTACAACAGCAGCAACAATAACAAACGAAACATAAACAACAACGTCAGCAAAACAGCAGCAGGAAAAATCAAAAACTTGCACAATTTCGACACTAAACGACGACGATCTTTGAGTTCGACCTGAGCTTAGTCGAGATATATATAAATTTGTTGCTTCGGGTGCCAGTTAGTCGCATATTTAATTAAGAGATTGAGGCCCAAAAAAATAAAAAACAAAACAGTGTTGAACAATGGGTACACGCTGTTGGCAGCACGAGTCAGCTGCATTACACTGCGAGAAAAGTTCGTTGCTCTAATCGCTTGAGCCGAATTCTAGGGATTTTTCAGTCGATTGTGGCGGATTGACGCGCTCGTCGAATTGCAGGTGAGACGGCTTGCGCGACACCAGGAACCAGGAGAAATAGATGTTCTCATTCATCGGCTCGGGTATGTAATTATTTTGTGTTAACAGCCAATCCTTGACCTCATTTATGTCCTTGATAGCACCGGCCATGACGCCCGTTGCATCCTCACGTTCATATGTATAGATAATGTAGCCACTGAGATTGGCTTTGCGGCAATGCTTGATCATCTTCGAAACGAACTTCTTATCGTCGGCTTTCAGTCCGTGCAGTTGGAACTCCACCTGATACTGGGTTTCCTTGCAGATCGACGTCTTCCTGCGCTCACGGCACACCTTGCACACACAGTAGCAAACTTTCGTCTCATGGTCACCGAGCGAAGTGAAGCTGTCCACGGGATGAAGTTGCTTAACGCTATCGCTGTCGCTTTTGTCAGTCAACACGTGACTTGCGACCAATTTGAGATAGGCTCCACTGTCAAAGGAGTAAGGCAAGTCAGATTCCGTTGTTGCTTGTTCCATTTCTAGTTAAAAAATTTTTCAATTTTACAACACTTAACTTAAGAATCGACCTTTCTTTCAAATGACACATTTGCTAGAGGAAACGTTGAGATGTAAGAAAATAAATTGCAAAGCTATAAAGAACTGGAAATTCAATAATTATCTTCATAAAACTTGAAGAAATTTAAAATAACGATCAAGTGACCTTTAGAAATGTATAGTTGATTAACAGTGTTGTAAAATGCACTTTGAACAAATTTTGTAAAATCTAAAATGACTTCAACAGAACACATAAGGCTTGGGTTACTTGTAAAAATTCGAAATAGTGTTGGTAAACGTGTTTATATGTTAAGCTTTTAACGCCTGTTTCGGCTCAATCACATTCAATGGAAAAATCATAGCAAACACTAATTCTACTATCAGGGCTTATTGGATTGGTATTGAAATATATTAGATACATATAAAAATATATACATATATCTATAATATATAGATATATATATATATATATTTATATATTTTTTGTTTTGGTTCTATTTCAATACCAATTCAAGAAACAAAGAAATTAATAACGCATTTTCGTAATATTTCTACTCGTTGTTCATACCAAAAATGTCCATGCAATTTGAGCTGAGTGAACCGATTGCAGTTTACAGAGTCTCCTACAAGCTGTACTTGTCCGATATCAAGGCCTTGATGCCACGTGCCGCCCTAAAGGCCACCGAGCTGAATGTGCGCGGCTATATGACGTCTACCCAATGCGGATATGCGGTTAGCGGCGAACTGGAGGGCACACAGGACAAGCTGCAGCAGATGATGACCTGGCTGCAGCAGGAGTCACCGAAGGGTAGCGAAATCCCCAAGTTTGGGCAGTATCAGCTCCAATTGAAGCCTGGCTACGACGATTTCTTCTGCTGTTAACAGACCCGAAAAACAAGCCCAAATAAAAATGTTGCAAGTGCCACAAAATTTGTTTCGAGTGCAGCTCTCTCATAAACAATAACAATCAGTCGAGCAGCTACGAGTATTGAACAATGGATCAGTCGAGCTGCTGTGGCTGCTGCAATTGCTGCCGCTGTTGCTGTTGCTTAGGCTATTGCTGCTGACTTTTCAAAGTCAAAAACGCGATTGTATCATCAGTTTTTAGTATATTTCTATGCTCGTTTCAATGGTGAAAGTGGGTATATGGGTTTTTGAGACATCTGTTAGTGTGTAGTAAAAAAATTATACTTCTCATATTTTATACTCATTGTCCGATAAAATTCTAAGAATATTTGAGCGGCAGCGAAGCTAATGGGAGAAGTCTTTGTACCTATGTATATTTCTAACCTAAAGTCAACAGCTTCTGTTGTAAACCAGAAAGGGGACTGGTTGTTATGGATAGACTCTGAGGACTTGAGATATGTAGGGGCAGATAGGGATTATGTTGATATGAATTGACCTGGTAGATGACAGGCTTGTCAAGATGTATGTAGTCAGCATAGTTTACTACTTGATTCGATGATCAGTTTAAAGTAAGCATATATTTTTCCTAACGATTCCAAATAAATATGGCTCATCTTAGCAGCCTCGAGCGAGCATTGAACAGCAGGTTAAACACATTAGCAACGTTCTTAGTTTTTTTTTTTTTTCAAGGCGCGGGTGACTCTGATTTGTGAAGATAGAAAAAAAAGTTGCAAACAATGAGCCGTAGCCGAGAAGAAAAACACAAAAAGAATTGAGCCAAGCTTGGCCCAGTGAGCCGGCTGAGCCGCCGCAGCAGTCGCAACAATCGGATCAATTCATTTTTCTAGGGCGTACTATGCCACTTGAACGTTGAACTGCAGACGCCCCAATGCTGACTACTGTGAAGGCGACCGATCTTAACTGCCGAGCAGCTCCATTGTTATTGTTATTAAGCCAGCAGCAGCAGCAGCAGCAGCAGCAGCACTTGGTCTTGATCGTGCCCTGGCACTAGTCATTTTATTATTTTCAAGATTTCTTGGTGCTACTTGGCGCATTTCGCAACACTGGTCGGTGTGCGCGCCTACCTCTGCCCCAACTCTTTGCCATTATTCATGCTGCTGCAGATTTATGGGCTTTGCTTAAATGGGAGCAAAGCGTTCTTGAAGCCAGGATTACGACGTAACATTTGAACAGGCAATGGCAATTCAATTAGACCTAAATGCTGTCAACAGCAACAACAACAGCAGCAGCAGCAACAACAGCTGTGAAATAGACAGCAAAGCAGAGCCAAGTGTCGTCTGGTCTGTTGTGTCTGCTGTGTCTGTTGTCTGTTGTCTGTTGTTGTGTGCCTCGTGTTGCATAATATTTTATGCATGCAGAGCGCTTGCATATTGTTGCAACATGCTGCCATGCTGTTGATGATGATGCATAGCCTCCAGAATTGCCACGTTGCCCCTCCCTGAAAAAAGCGATACCAGTAAGAGTGATCTAGTCGAGAGTGCTCAGCGAGAAGTTACCCTGCGCGAGCAAAAGCTACATATATAAAATCTAAATATATTTGGGCAGGTTTTATATTTTAGGGAAATTTATTCTCATATCTAACTATTGCAGTGCTAGGAGATTGATCTTAGATATATCGATAAACCAGATATAGTTTTTATATATATGTGATCACTCTCTTGCTTTAATATTGGAAAAGCAAAAGTGATGTATTAGAACTGTTCCAAATTTTCTGTTTCCAGATGTTTCATCCTTTAGAGACTCTTAAAATCAAATGATAAATCTTTTAAATGATATCGATTTCTGTGAATAAAATTGGCGGGCGATAATTTCAACTTAAAATTGCAAAACTTTTACATTATCTATGACATATTAGTCGAATCAAGATATTATTAGCAATTAATATCGATTAAACTGACTTAAATCAGTTATCGGTCACTTTAACTTACCTTTATCCGATGCATTTCAATTACATAAACTACTGTTATATTTCAAAGACTATCTATATTAATCAAAAATTGAAAAGAATGAGTATTATATTATAAAAAACTCTCAGAGATTAATCGATTAGAAGTTTATCGATAGCATGTAATAAATATACGAACAGATGTCTCAAAATCGAATGAATTTGATTTGATATAGATATATATGTCCCTTATGTTTTCCACTTACTAAAAACTTATCGATTGCAAGCTATCGATAGCATGTTAACGTATATATTTACCGTGATTCATTTGTTGATCCTGATCACAGACACTCAAGCCTATGTCAGGCAACATTTTGCACTAGTTTATCAGACGCCTCGTGCACCCGTTTCCAACAAATACAGGGTATACGAGAAACAAAAAATCAAGTCCGCCCGACCGTCAGACAGTCCTGCGCCAAGGCGTCCAGCTGTGCGCCGGCTCCAGTCGCCTCGGCTCGTAAGTGTGTCGAATATTCAAGTGAAAATTTCCCGCATAGAGCTCAAAGTCAGTCAAATCAGCGAGTGCGGCGCTTGTCTTGTGCGGCTGTTGTGTGTTGGTGTGTGTTTGCCTAGTCGCATATCCATGGCATGTGCATGGGCTATATAGATACAAATGTATCTGTATCTGTATCTGCTGCTGCTGCTGCTGCTATGCACATGGGGCTTTTATAGGTGGGTAGCTGCGACTGCCTTTCGACTGGTATTTCGCTTGCGTCTTTTGATTAGAGACTGAGCCAAAACTTGTCGTTACAGTTGTTCTTGTTGCGGCTGTTGTTGTTGTTATTGTTATTGTTGCTGCAGCTCTTTAAGTCGAACAATTACATTTTAAGCGTAGCACAACCTTGGATACCGTTATATTTCTAGCTGTTGTTGGGCGTGTGTGTACGTCAACTAGTGGGCAAATAACACAGCGAACATATTCTTAGACAAGTTCTTAACGTCGAGATTGAAAGAGTAGGAGTAGACACTAGTTGCTCTGAGATAAAGTTATTATAAAGGATAAATGCTCTTTGCTCTTTATGCTACTATACTATATTTAGTCTATGATGTACTTCAGATAACTTAGAGAGTATTATCTTTAGTAAAAAATATATATTATAGTGGAAAATAATTAATTTGTTTTTAAGTAAGTTAAAAGCTTTTTGTGGATCTCCGCATAGCTTTACTTATCTCAATATAAAAATATTATTTCACATGCAAAGAAAAAAGAAACAAACTTTAAGAAAATGATATTTGCTCTAGTGCAAAATTTGCGCACAGTAGTTTCAGCTGGTTCTAAGTGGTGTAGCAAATGTTTATTGGGTTTGATGGCAAAGCGCACCGCTGGGCTAAACACGATTCAGCAATCTGCAAACGTCTCGTTGGCTTCGACGTCTTTGGCAACAGTCGAAACAGATCGCCAGTCAGCCCCGGAGCAGACCAGGCCAGGCCAGACCACAGCCAGAGCCGACAGAGCCGACAGTCAGACAGTTAGAGAGACAGTCAGCCGGGCCAAGTTAAGAGCGAGTCGACCACACCCGCACACTTCATTATTTTTATGTCGCCCGTGGTGGTACGATTTAAACGACAACGGGCGACGGCTGCAGATTGTGGAGCAGAGTGACAGTGTTGGCGAGGGGGACGCGGGGTGGATGGCACAGAGAACGTGGCACGACATTCAGCGTTTTGGTGGCGTCTCTGCGCAGTTAGAGAGCAGCACCACAAACCCAAAAGGCAACTTCAAGAAATTAGACGCAAGTCAAAGAGTAGCCTCAGTAGACTCAGGCCCGAAAACAGAGCGGGCTGAGCGTATAGGGCATCACGTATTGGGTATCGACTAAAGCCATTCGAAAGTCAAAAATATAATATATTTTTGTTGAGCTCAAGGAAGCTAATAAATATGCAGATGCAGCCAATTAAGAGTTGTTCGGCAGCTATGAAATGTTTTATGAAATTAGTTAAAAAACAAAATTATTTCAGAATATGCAAATTGGTAAATATATATTATTGAACATATTTTTATTGAAATTTCTTTAAAAAATAGAGAGTAAAGAGCTGCATTTAGTTGCCTAGCTCAAGAGCTAAGTTCAATTGAAAGCTTCAACAATATTTTGTGGCAGGAGCTGAAGCTGCTTGGCTTAATGTGCCCAGGCACATCTCATGTTGATGTTACAATTGCCGGTTGTTCGTTTGGTTTCGTTGCTTGGGCTTTGTTTTTCTGGGCTTGTGGGGATCGTGCGCCAGCGCAAATGCGCCTAGTGGGGCTTGGAAATTTGTAGCGCCTGCAAAAAAAAAAAAAAAACTAAAAAAAGGCAGCTGCAACAACTGCAACAGCAACAACAATAACAACAACAATTATCTACAATTACAACAACGGCAGGCTGACAAAAAGTCGTTACTGTTCGAAGAGCTGTTGCAGTACACTTGAAGAAAAACCTTCACAAATCAGTGGCTAAAACTTAAATTAGTTAAAGACTTTTCTTTCGGTTTTTATTTTCAATTCTAAAACTGGAAAATTTAACTCAAGCAGTGAGTAGTTCAGATATTAATGGCTTATTATATTAGGTCGTCAACTTTGGCCAACTTTCTTCGAGTGCAGTTTTATATATCTAATACGCCTTCTAATGCGAACTGCTGCCTCTGCGCTTGGGTCTTGGGCAGACTCCAATGTAATTTATCTTGATGTTTAAATCAATAATACGTATAACGCCATCCATCCAAAGTTGTTATTTCTTCAACATACACACGATTATATATATAAAATTTAATAGCTGTTGTTGTTGTTGCTGCTGCTGTTGCTGTAGCTGTTTGATTATTATTGAAATTTTCAATATGCGGCCGCTTGCGGAGTTTATTAAGGCACGAACCGCACTTTGACGACGGCTCCTCGTCGTCATAATTATTGCCATAGGCTTTGATCTGGTTTCGTTCTGGCAGCTCTACAGAGCAGCTCTATCTGCATCTGCATTCGTATCTGTATCTGTATCTGCATCTACATCTGCATCTGCATTTGTATCTGTGTGTGTCTCTTGCTTGGCATGCGACCGCCGCAGTAGGCCGCCGCATAGACGCGTCGCGA